TGAAAACATATGGAGATGTTTATATATAAATAGAAAACAATAGAATGCTGCCGTCATGTAAGCAGCAACTAAAAAACTCCTGCATGAATAGAAATCAAACATTTCTATACCTATGCCAGAATGCTGGTTTACTGATATCTATACATCCTGTCTTATTTGCCTTGAAAAGATGTTTTATTATTTTAGACTTTTTATTCCTAATTGGAAAGAAATTGTGGAGCAAGAGATTTTTGTTTTTGTTTTCATTTCTTCCTTGGCTTAAATTACTTCGTTAGCAGGAACAGTAACTTCTGTCCAAGTATACCTTGTGTTACAATCATGAACAAGTTTTCAATATATATATTTAACTACAGTCTTTGTATTTCTGAATTAAAAGTGAGTACTCATGGCCTGACAGAAGTGACTTTCAGGAGACCCAGCAGTGGAGAGGTTGAGAGCACGGCTTAGGAGTTAGAAGCAGTGCTCTCAACTGCTTAGGAGGTAGAAGGAATTCCTCTAGGTCGGAATTCTGGCTGCACCACTTAGCTAGCTAGGTAACCATGGGAAAGTTGATCAACCTGACTAAACCTCAGTTACTTAATCTGTAAAATGAGAAATATCAGAGTACTCATATAATGATTGTACATACTCACCAGAAGAGCTGTAAGACGTTACACATAGTGTCTAGCTCATAGGAAACATCACAGAAATGCTGCCTACCATCATTGTAATCAGCTAATAGAAGGGTTTATATTGAGACCATCCTTGAAAATCTGAGAAGTGTTGATGCCCAGTGCCAAGAACATAACAACCGTTATGCTACTGTTTACCAAGTGCTACTTATGCCCTAGGCTTTACAATGTACTGTTTTTGACAATTCCATAAGCTGGGTACCACTGTCATCCCATTACAGCTAAAGATTGGTTGATATGTGGGTCAAACCCAGTCTGGATCATTCAGAAGCCCACACTCTTGATTTCTCTGCTAAAATGGCTGCTACATATATTGCCTAGGGCACCTTTGAAACTTTCTTTATTTACACTATTCTCTGTGTTCTTGTCAATGTCCTGTGACATTGCACAATGGCATTCACAAACTGTGAAGTCCCCTGTCCCTAGGACATCTGTTCATTTGCAGTTAAACAAGACCAGGAAGCACTTAATGAACACATTATTAGAAGCTCTGGTTTTCAATTCATGTAACCACTTTCACTTTGGTCTATAACGGCCTTTTCCTCAAAGGTGCTTAAAGCTTCATATGGACAGCCTCATTATTCAAGCTTTTGCCCCACCCTACAAATGTAGAACCCAGGGCCCAAGGTAACATGACTTGGGGACAGAGGACGAGGCCATTCACCCACCTTAGTAGCCCAGTGTATCACTTGCTGAGTCAGGAATACAACAGACTGGGCCCAGGGCATTGTCCAACTCACCAGGCTGCTCATTAATGTTGGGCCACAAACATTAATGTTTGTCTAATAGCCAAACTGCTAACTGACTCCACTTTTTAAAAACTTATTTTAAGGTCAGGGGTACATGTGCAGGTTTGTTACATAGGGAAACTTGCATCATGAGAGTTTGTTGTGCAAATTATTTCCTCTCCCAGGTATTAAGCCTAGTACCCATTAGTTATATTTCCTGATCCTCTATCTCCTTCCACCGTCCACCCTCTGGTAGGTTCCAGTGTGTGTTGTTCCCCTCTATCTGTCCGTGTGTTCTCACCATTTAACTCCCGTTTATAAGTGAGAACATGTGGTGTTCAGTTTTCTATTTCTGTATTAGTTTGCTAATGGCCTCCAGCTCCATCCAAGTCCCTGCAAAGGACATGATCTCATTATTTTTGTGGTTGAATAGTATTTCATGGTGTATATGTACCACATTTCCTTTATCCAGTCTATCATTGATGGGCATTTAGGTTGATTCCATGTCTTTACTATTATGAATCATGCTGCAGTGAACATACACATGTGTGTGTCTTTATGATATAGAATGATTTATATTTCCCTTTTACTGGCATATACTCAGTAATGGGGTTGCCGGGTTGAATGGTAATTCTGTCTCTAGGTCTTTCAGGAGTCACCATACTCCTTTCCACAATGGTTGAACTAATTTATACTCCCATCAACATTATATAAGTGTTCCCTTTTCTCCTCAACCTTGCCAGCATATATTTTTTTTAGTTTTTAATAAAAGCCATTCTAACTGGTAGGTGATAGTATCTCATTGTGGTCTTGATTTGCATTTCTCTAATGATCAGTGATACTGAGCTTTTTTTTATATGCTTGTTGGCCACGTGTATGTCTTCTTTTGAGAAGCATCTGTTCATGTCCTTTGCCCACATTTTAATGGGGTTGTTTTTCTCTTGTAAATTTGTTTAAGTTCCTTACAAATGCTGGATTTTAGACCTTTTTCAGATGCAGTTTTGCAAAACTGTTTTCTCATTCTGTAGGTTGTTTACTCTGTTGATAGTTTCTTTTGCTGTACAGAAACTCTTAATCAGGTTCCACCTGTCAATTTTTGCTTTTGTTACGACTGCCTTTGGCATCTTTGTCATGAAATCTTTGCTAGTTTATATGACCAGAATGGTATGCCTAGGTTGTCTTCTGGGTTTTTATAGTTTGGGGTTTCACATTTAAGTCTTTAATCAATCTTCAGTTGATTTTTGTATATGGTGTAAAGAAGGGGTTTAGTTTTAACTTCTGCATATGGCTACTCAGTTATCCCAGCATCCTTTATTAAATGCAGAGCCCTTTCCCCATTGCATTTGTCAGCTTTGTAGATCAGATGTTTGTAGGTGTGCAGTCTTATTTCTGGGCTCTCTCTACTCTGTTCCATTGATCTATGTGTCTATTTTTATACCAGTACCATGCTGTTTTGGTTATTATAGCCCTGTAGTATAATTTGAAGTTGGGTAATGTAGTGCCTCCCTCTTTGTGCTTTTTGCTTAGGATTGCCTTGGCTATTTGGGCTCCTTTTGAGTTCATTATGAATTTAAAATAGTTTTTTCTACTTCTGTGAACAATGTCATTGGTACTTTGACAAGAACAGCATTGAATCTGTAAATTGCTTTGGGCAATATAGCAATTTTAATGATACTGATTCTTCCTATCCACGTAGCTCCAATTTTAACCTACATAGTACATGATTAGGAGCACTCTGCCTTATTTTCTTGTTGGAAGAATGGGATCTGCCTGCAATATCGGAACCCACACAAATAAGATTGCTCAATTCTGTTTTCATTTGCAAGATATATTGTGAATGTTCTTTTCTCCTTTTTGCAGGAGAGGGAAAGAGTTTAGGGTTTTGGGGATGGCAGAGTATACAAGGGAAGAGGCTTAGGACTTCCAAATTACTTGTCAACCTATTGACTTTGCATCAATGTACTAGTTAAACGAGTCCTGAATGTAATATATTGATGCAAATATTTTGCGTATTATTAACTCTAATGATGTTACCATAATGCAATGGCCACAGCTGAAAGCTGAGGTGGCACTTTTTATTATAAATGCCTTGGGTCTTTCACTGAAAATCACCATGAAGACAAATCCCTTAGAAGTGAGAGTGGAAATATGAGCAGACTTCTGCATCATTAATCTTCTCATCATTAACAATAACAAAGAGCGTTGGTGTCCCAGGGCCCTGCATTCAGTAAATACTGGCTACATCTTCCTTTAGAACCTGTCCTACTCTTGCCTTTGTAACTACAGTACACTTTGAGATCAAAAGGTTAGGCAATCATTGTAAAATGGAATCTGTTTTATAAAAAAAAGAAATACGGTGTAATCCTCAAATTGTTATGTAAGTGGAAAATCACTCTAAATGCAGAACAAGTATTGCTTACCCTCCAGTGCTTTGCTAGTGATGGTAGTGTGGAGTCTTGGAAAGCAGAGAGTTTCAGAGCCAGCTCTACCATTTGCCACCTGCATGACATTGAACAAATCACTTGACCTCTCTGATTGTCAGATCCTTTCCTATAAAACAGCAACGTCAATAATGCTGCTTTGTCTATTTTATGAGTTGCCGAAGAACACTAAAGAAGATTGCAAATGTGAAGGCTCTCTGGGCGCAATGTACAAATGTTACTATTGATTTTTTACTAGGTGAGTAATGAGGAATGAGTAGCAGTGTTTGTCCAAGGATAGCTTGGGAATAAATCAACCAAGGTGGCATTTGGTAAGTCTTGAAGATGTGGATGGCTCCTGGGAAACAGATAAGCTGGCCAGTTTGAAGGGTCTTTAAGTTGCAAGTTTTAGGGCCTGGTAGCAATTTAACTGTGCAAACTCTCAAGAGCCTATTATATTCTAAGCTCGTACCGTGACAATACTGGCTACATGAAATCACTGTGTGCTTTCTTACCAGACTTTATTTGGAAAGAGTTTATAGACTAGTGGCCTGGCAGAGTTGCCTGGAATTAGAGTGCTGTGGTTTTACACGAGGGAGAGCAGTGTTTCATGCCTTGTTCTATTACCTCCCTCCCTGGGGATTCAACAGATGCTACAACAACAAAATCAGAAACCCAAGACAAACCTGTTAGCATGAGGCTTTTAAGCTTTAGCAGAACTCACAATTAAGACAAGATAGAATATCTATTTAGAGGGAAGAGGTGCAAAGAAATAAGTTCACAGAGCATACCTTCTTTCGTCTGAGCATGGCTAACTATCTGGAAATCCCTGCCATATAGGAGGAATTGTATACTGAAACACAGTGAACACTTAAGGAAATTAAGAATACTATTGCTAGTATAAATAATTGAACAACTTTAATATGGGGCTTTATATTTCCCTTCATTATATTTTTTGAGTCCTTTCAGGCTAACGCTTGAGTTTAGCAAATCCTAGACTGAGTAATTGTGCATCTCAGAATGGTTAGATAATATGTAGACCAGACCCTAAGTCAGGCACAGAAACATGCTTTGGCACAGCCATGAAGAGGTAAAGTATTTGGTAATTGTTGTTTGATAGTTCCCAAGGAGAAAGCACAGAAGCAGCAGATAAAAACCAAACAATTTTCTTTTGTGTTTAGGTAAATGTTTCCAACTACAGTTTGGTCATGGAGTCTGATGCGGGAACCTTCTTACCTACTGGACTGCAGTTCACTGGCAGTGAAAAGGCCAGGGCCATCATGGAGGAGGTCATGAGCCTGCTGCAGCCCCTCAATATCACTCAGGTCCTGAGCCATGGAGAAGGGACAGACATCAACTTTTGGATCCAAGCTGGAGTACCTGGTAAGACCAAAAGATGAAGTTGTGTTCATTGTATATTGCCAACAATTTAAAATACAATTTCTATTCTAATCGAGCACAGTGGATACAGGTAGGCCACGTTGTGCATGGAAACCTTAAGCTTTTGTCTACAAGGTATAATCTGATGATTTCCAAAACTGGGATAATAGTCCTCACCTTGTATTTGTTTACCCAGCTGTATCCCTCTACTGCTAAATTATAAGCTCCTCACTCTGAGATTCTGATTTAGTCATTCTGGAATTGGGCCTAAAAATCCGTTGTTTCATTTTGGTTTTTTTTAGGAGGTATCTTTGGTGATTATAGCACAAATGATCTCATAACCAAAATTTGAGAACTAGAGTAGAAGGCAGGTATTACTACAAATATCCTTTTAGAAAAACTTCCCTGATCCAAATAATTCCCTGTTTAAATACTGTGGTATCTGAAATTTTACCATTAGAGATGAATTTGTTGAGGGTGGGGTACTTCCTGTTACTCATGTTTTGCCTTAATGCATGTGCAAGAGGTTGGGCATAAACTAATTTACCCTGAGCAATTATTTACCATGTGAATATCCTGAAGAGAAGTCCTAAGTCCCTGGGAACAGGGATGAAATTATGAAATGGGAGTTCATATGAGGAGGTTACTTACAGGAACAGAAGCTGGAGTAGTCTTTTTTTTTTTTTTTTTTGAGACAAGCTTTCACCGTGTTGCCTGGGCTGGAGTGCAGTGACACGATCACAGCTCGCTGCAACCTCTGCCTCCCGGACTCAAGCAATCTTCCTGTTTCAGCCACCTGAGTAGCTGGGATTTTGAGTGTGCACCACCACCCCTGGCTAATTTTTGTATTTTTTGTAGAGACAGGGTTTCGTCATGTTGCCCAGGCTAGTCTCGAACTCCTGGGCTCAAGTGATCTGCCTGCCTTGGCCTCTCGAAGTGCTGGGATTACAGGTGTGAGCCACCATGCCTGGCCTCTGGAACAATCTTAAAAAGACAAATTTTTACTACTTCACAAAGTTGCCTAAGCCTGGCCATAGAAAAAGTTTCCTGATATTAAGTTGTTGTGATCCAAGGTTGTTCCCTCAACACGATTATACTCATAATCCAAAAAATTGTTAAAGGATCCATCTGAAAATTGTTCTGTATTTGCACTATACAAATAGGAAGCCCAATCTTCGAACACTTTTAACATTGCTGTTTTCAGAACTATTTCTATGGCTACAAACATTTCCAAGGAACTGAAACAGTGTCTCTCGACCTACTCCACTCTAGCTTTTTTTTTTCCAGCCTGCAAAGTAGATTTTACCAATAGTTATATACTATATAGATTTAAGATTTTTTTAAAAGTTTATTCTTGGATACTGTAGATTTTTAAGGCATATTTTAAGTTTTAACTTTTATAATAATTTTTCATAACTAAAAATAAAAGGAGCTTTTCTTTATTCTAATACAAAGACCCAAATTCTTTCCCTTTGTTCTGTGTATATTTTAGGAAATTCCATACTTTGGAATTTCTTAAAGCAACATTTCCATTCACAATGCTGTACCTCTCTGGACAGATCCAGTACTATCTACATATGTGTCATTGATAAACATGATCTAAATGTAGGGAAGTCTGCCTTTTCAGTTATATAGAATCATTTGTATGAATTTTTCGATGTTTTGTGAGACTGAAATTTTTCAACAGGAACTTCTTAAAGTTTGAGAAGCTCCGAATAAACTTCTGTGTGGTTGCTGTGAGGAAAAGACTGTAGACTGAGTGAGTGAGTGTGTAGACTGGGGTGGTAAAAGGTGAGGTGAGGAACTGAAACCTAAGACAGAATTGGAAACAAAACTTGTCCCTCCCTCTCCCAGGTATTTCTTGCCATGTGTTTGATCATGGAGGCTTGGCTCTAGCTTTATTCTTCCACAAGTACATGTTGCATAAGAATGGTCCTGTTTGGACTTATCAGGTTAATTTGATTCTTTCCCCCTCAAATAAGGAAGTGTTTTCTGTCTTTGCCATGGTAAGGTGAGGTCGGGTTTGATTTCTACCTAATAGAGTAGAGTGGGGAGACTGAGCCCATTATGGATGCATAAGAATTAATAAGAACTGGGCACAGTGGCTCATGCCTGTAATCCCAGCACTTTGGGAGGCCAAGGTGGGTGGATCATTTGAGGTTAGGAATTCGAGACCAGCCTGACCAACATAGTGAAACCCCATCTCTGCTACAAATATACAGAATTAGCTGAGTGTTGTGGTGCACACCTGTAATCCCAGCTGAGAGGCTGAGGCAGGAGAATCAGTTGAACCCAAGAAGCAGAGGTTGCAGTGAGCCAAGATCATGCCATTGCACTCCAGCCTGGGCAACAAGAGCAAAATTCTGTCTCAAATATAAAATAAAATATTTAATAAGTTAAAATGTATTGAACTCCTGCTATGTAGGAAGTACTCAGGCTTTTTGCAGACACTGTTTTATCTATACAACCATCCTGTGAAGGAGGTACAATTATCCCTATTTTGCAGGTGAAGAAACAGACTCGGAAGGGTTAAATGACTTGCCCAAGACTATACTGCCCTTAGGGCAGAAGTCACCCTGAGAACAGGCCACTTTGGCTTCAAGGCTGGTGGCCCTTTTCTCACAATATGCAACAACACAGGGGAGTCTGGAATGCTGAGAAGGCTCCAAATCTCTGGCAGTGTCTAAAATGTTTATCTTACTCAGCTCTTGCTTATGCAAAGGATTTCAGTCCATTCCTGCTCCACAAGGATTTACCCCTGGGAGAAAGGAGTTTGTTATTGTAAATAACTACTTATTTCTTCTCACATTCTTTGTTCTACTTCCTTCTTTACCTCTGAAAGATCAGAAAAGTTTACCTAAAGTCAGTAGCTCATTTAGATGACAATAAATGCTTCCTGGAATTCTGTTTTATTTCCTTCAGGGTATTATAAGACAGAACCAAATTACTGCTGTCTTCCTTTTATTGCTTTTGAGTTATCCTTTGATATTTCAAATTTGGGCTGTTCCTGGAAGAAACAATAATACTGCTTATAACTCTTGTTACCTATTGAAAATTTCAGGAACTTCACTGTGCACAGTGGCTTTCCCCTATAATCCCAGAGCTTTGGGAGGCTGCAAGGTGGGAGGATTGCTTGAGGCCAGGAGTTTAAGACCAGCCTGGGGAACACAGTGAGACCCCCATCTGTAAAAAAAAAGAAAAAAGAAAAAGAAAGAAAGAAAAGGATGAAGACCCGTAATTCAGTTCTTCATCTTTTTTCTAAAAGATTAAGTTGAATTTGTCTAAAAAGGAAAATAAAAATATATCAATCATGTCAATCATGTGCCCTGCATTTGTGAAGGCCTGATAAATTCTAACTTAAGGCTAAGGGTAGGATTCTAAATCCTAATTGTCACTTAAATAACTGCTCACCTAACTTCTGAAAAATTAATGGTAAATATTATTTCTAAACTCCATCCTTTTCTTCTTCTTCTTTCATTGATTCGATAAACATGTATTGAGTCCCTACCATGTTGTAAGCCTATTAAATTTCTATAATTTGAGGTGACTGTAGGATGACTAGGCCCAATGTTCCGTGTATACTATATACCAAAATACTGATAGAGTTAAATATCTATCACACAGATAGAATTAAAATTCAACATTGTTTTCATCAATTATAGAAGACAAAATGATCAATTTACAATATGGCCATCTTTGGAAAAGAAAAGATGATATTTTTTACCCATCTAGATGATATCTATAATGGACAGAATAACTATTAACATAAATATAAGGCTTTGGGGGAAAAAATATTTTTTTAAAAAAAAGTATCTTGGATGCACTTTCCGCATAAACTCTTTGTTCTAGATCTTCAGACGCCAGCCTTCTCCCATTTCCATCTCCTTCCATGTTCCTATTCTTTCTCTACAAATCTTCATGCTCTTTAAGGCTCATTCTGTATTCATCAGTGTTCATGAATCCTTCCTGAGTCCATAGTGCTCTATTGCTTTTCCAAATTTCTAACACACTTCAAGTCTTTGTCCCACAACCTGGCATGTGAATTACATACCATGATGTTATTCTTGGAGCCCTGGGAATGTATGTGCATCCTGCTGCCTATAGTCAGTAATTAGTTCTTTAAGGTTAAGGTCAATAATTTCTACTTCTTTCCCTATTCTATAGCTGTCAATTTAATTTGGGGAAACCTTTAAAGTCTTACAAGTCTGATTTAGAAAAAACAAAAACATTGAAATAATTATTTTCTAGACAAGCTGTTGGATCCTTTAGTTTAAGAATGTGGAGAAAATAAAGGATACTAAGAAAAGAGCCAAAAAAGTATAAAAAATGTTGGGAGAATGATATAAATTGGGAAGGTTAGAGCAATAAGGATTATCTCTCTTTAAGGCACAAAGACTAAGAGAAGATATATCTTCCAGTACTTTAGTGATTCTCACACATAAAATGGTGAACCGCTATTCCCTGACAATTTGAAAGACAATACAAGAAATGGCTTAAAGTGACCTAAGAGGGATTTAAGCTAGTCTCTATTCACTCCAGATAGTAGAGAGGCTTTAAATCTCAAGTTTTTGCCTGATTCTCCCATTATGAGCTCCAGGTTAGAATGAAAGGAGTCTATTTCATTGTGAGTATGTCACCAATGAGATATAATCCATGGTTCTTAGATGTCCCTAAGTGCATCCTTCTTGAATATATTTCTTCTTTAGAAACTCTTTCACAAAGTGTACATTAATGAAAAAAAATTAAATACCCTCTTACTGTGACCTGAGAGAACGTCCCCACTCTTACTCTACATCTGCCAATAAGAGCTTACTCCTCTGCTTCAGAATCTGAAATGCAACTTTTTTTGTTGTGTTGTTGTTGTTGTTGTTGTTGTTGTTGTTGTTGTTAGTGTGGTGGCCTGTGGTAGACAGTATATTGGAAAGAGTTAGAGGACTTGAGTGTGTATTCTGCCTTCAAAATTTCTAACTATATGGGCAAATGATGCAATTTTTCTAAGCCTT